TCCCTTTTTAAATTAATTTTAAATTTTTTCCCACCATTCTAAAGACACAAGCGAATGATGCTACAGCGTGAGCCTTCCCCAGTTCATCTGTTTGCTACCAGTGGTCTCCTGGGTAAGACCACTGATGCTATTTCTCTCCATTCAACAAACATACCCTCATCGGACAGCCTAAGAACCCCCATCTCTACACCCAGGGGTGCAGTTTGTGTGTAGAAAACAGCACGTGTGCACGATGATGCTGTGATGTCTCCACGGTTCCCTGGGAGCCATGAGGAGACCATGGGTGTTCACTGGGCACCCTTACTCCGGGAGGGGTCACCGCTGCAGCCACCCCAGCCCTGGTGCCCACAGAAGGAAAGCACAGACCTCATCATCCAGGGCGCTCCTCCAGGTCTCCTTTGCCCGCTCCTCGGGCACGTCTCTGCCCGGAAGAGCCTTGCTGATGAAACACTGACCGTTAGCATGTATGATGGAGTTGCTCCCTTGGATGACCTCACGAGGAAGTCCTTCCGGTTGAGGGGCCGACCTCCAGCAGTCAGGCTTGGCTTGACTTGGTGCTTTGAGGAAATCTTGTCATTCTCTTGACGGAGTACACCTGCCTCCAGCAGCCATCTCTCTACCTCCTTCCTCAAACTCGGCATCACAGGCCGACAGCAAAGCACAGTCGTCGGAAGTCCCAGAGGAGAAGGCAGAAGCAAGCCTCCGGCCACCGGCCCTGCCCAGCTGCTTGCAAGGCTAAAATGCATCCAGATGGTGCTTCCTGATAAGACAAATTCTGAATCTTTTATGTCTACAGCAAACACACAGGGCTCAGAGAGGAAATTCTGTGACAGCTGCTCAGTCATAATTGCTTTGAATTCTTGCAAACCCAAAGATGGTTGTGCTCTTGACCAGCAGACAAAGCACTTTGCTTTAAGATGCAGAGGGAGATGCCCTGAGGCCTCCAGGTGCCTTGGTCAACAGGTTGTCTTGAGAGAACTGATAATCCTGGAAACAGACCCCTTTGGGGGTGTCTGCCGGGCTTCTCACCTCTTCTCTGGAACTCTCCTTTTGACCCCAAGAAGGAGTGCCTTTATGATGAATGGACACTGAGTTTTGTCAAATGCTTTTTCATGCATCTATGGAGATGATCTTGTGGGGGGTTTTAATACTTTTATTGATCCAAGTATGTTGCACTGATTGATTTTAAGGTGTTAAACCCACCTTGCATCCCTTGGAGATAGCCCACTTGGTCATGGTGTTTAATCCTATTTATATGTTTCTGGATTCAGTCTGCTAATAATTTGTTGAGGACTTCTGCAAATGCAAATACCAGTGAGTCCAGGCATGTTAAGAAATTCGTGAGATAATTTAGATACAAGAGAAACGTGGAGAGTGAGGCCCTTCTAAAGGGACTCAACTTTATCATCCGGCTAGAATATGAGCCCAATACTGCCATATTTTAGCTTTTGAGTAGAAGCTGGTAACCCAGTTCTTTATGAGAAATGTCCTGATTTTTAATTGCTAGCAACTTATTTTAATTGAATTTTTTGAATAGGGAAACACCAAAATATCAAAAAGTATAAAATAAAAATGGAAAGGCCACATCTCACTGAAAACAGAATGTTCACCATTTTCAAATATCTGTTTATCCTCCCAGAGAACTTTAGTGCTTTCCTTTCTTACACAGGTGATAGCATATCGTGTCCTTCTTCCACTTTGGCTTTGGGGATTCTCCTCACCCAGTCGTAAAGAACTCCTACTCGACTTTTACATCTTCATAGGATTCCACCCATCCATGCATGTATGGAGGTACTGTAACTGAGCCAATCCCTAGTTGATGGACACAGATTCTGTCCGATCTCCTGCTGTTGCAATGTGCAGTGAGTAAATTTTTGCATTTATCATTTCTCTTTGTGTGTATATACTGGGAGGCTAGATCTCTGGGGATGGAGCTGGGTATGCACATTGCCTAAGGGCGCATACGTTCCTAGCTTTGATAGACACTGCCCATGATCTCCATGAGAGTCCTGTCTCACCACCAGTGTATAAGCATGCACCTTTCTTCAAAATTTCACCAACAGTGTCATAAAAAACATTTTATTTTGGCCAGCGTGAGAAATGAAAACTGAGTATTCAATATTCTTTCATACTTACAGATTGAGGTTAATATCTTTTCATATTTTGAAAATGCCTTTTGCATAGTCTTTTCTGTGAAATGCTTATTCATATCCTTTGCTATTTTGGGGGGTTTCTTTCCTCTTATTTATTTGTAGGAGATGTTTATATACTAGGGAGATTATCCCTTTGTAGTACAAGCTGCAAATATATTTTACTAGTTTGTCATTTGGCTTTTGCATTTGGTTAGAATTCTGTTGTTTTGTTTTCATATTTTTTTTTTTTTGGTTGAATTTTCTGCTTGTTTTTGCCATGCAGAGGATTTAAAATTTTTTAAATATCACAATTTTCTTTTATGGCTCCTGGATTTTTTATGATTCTCCAATGTTTCCGCCTCCTTATTCTATAAATTCATTTTACACATTGAACTCCTCCTTAATCCATTTGGAATTTTGGAACTGTTCCTGGCGTACAGAGTGAGGTATGGAACTCACTTTATTTTTCCCAGATGGTAACCGCATTGTCTCAACATGAAAACAATTTTGAAACAGTTCAGGGCAAACCACATGGCTCTGCCAACCTGTGGGCCACTATTCTGAAACCTCTTGCTTTGGACAGATGGGAAGTTCACATCCATGCGGAACGTAGGAATGGTCAAAGGACCTAGCTTTTCCGAAGACTCGCGATGGCCTAGGTTCTGGGACCCCTGTCCGAAAACAGCCACCGAAGAAAGAAAAGACAAAGATCACCCTTTCCCCGGGTGCAAAGTGACCCTGGCCGTGGGCTTTGGGTTTGACCCTTGGTGGGTTTGACCCACCAGGGCTTTCATCGACTTGTTAGGAGACATCGGCCACTTGCTCTGAAGATGACGCCCGTCAGGGCACATGGCCCCAGGCCAGCACCTCAGCCGCTCAGAGGACCGAGGTCAGTGATTCCTGGCAGGCCCTGTGCCCTGGCTCACCCTCCCGCCCAACGTCTCCAAGCATCCCTAAAATTTCATTGCTTGGCACTGCAGCTCCAGGAAACTTGGGAAAACCAGTTCTAGCTCATGAGTCACCGTTTCCCCATAGATGCTGTCAAGGAACCTCACCCCTCCTCACTGCCCTGGGGGTGAGGGCTGGCCCCCCGAGAGTCCCCGGACAGCAGAGCCGGCGAGGCCGAGCAGGACTCCAAAGGTTCTCACGCTCCGCTGCCCCGGTCTCACTCTCAAAGGCAGGGCCGTTCCCAAGGCCCGGGCCCTGGGGTGCCGAGAGCCCCCGGGAAGCGCGGGCCGGCCGGCCCTCCCCGCGCCCAGCCCCGCCACCGTCACAGCCGCCTGCTGCCCAGAGCCCATTGCCAGGCCCCTTCGCAGGCCGTCGTTCCTCACTGCACCCCCAGAGGCAGGCGCCCTTATTCTCTGCCTCTTACTGGGGAGGAGGCTGGGCTCAGAGAGGGAAAGCACGGTGCGCCGGGGCCGCGGGTCTCTACTTCAGGACACTTCGCGGCTGTGGCTTGATCACGTGGCCCCCCACCCGCCTCTCCCGGGCCCTCGGTCCAGGCTTCGGAAGGAGAAAGAAGCGTGGGCGCCTCCAGCCATCAACACAAGCCCGGTCTTCCAGAAACGTGTGCCCTGGCCGCTTGTCTGAAAAAACGAACTTCCTGTCGACTCTCCGCTCTCCCTCAGCAGACCAGGGCACGGGGAAGTGTCTAAGCATCCCTCTTCATTAAAAAACAGTCCTGATCAATACAACGCAGCTGTGACAACGAACGGTCAGCAGCCACAGGGACGCTGCCCACAGACTCGGCGGCGGCCGGGGGAGCGGGCACAAAGGTGCCACGCTGAGCCTGCACACGCCAGTCCGCCTCCAGGGCCAGAAGAGAAGCCCAGACAGCAGCCCCCTGTGCGCTGCGAGACGTCAGGATGCTGTCAGCTCGGGGTGGGGGCGGGGGGGGGTTATTGGAAGGAAGCACGGGGGGCTTCTGACGAGTGCGCTTCTAGATGGGGTGAGGGTCAGGCAGATGTGTTCATGTGCGAAAGTTCAGTGACCTCAACACTGGATTTATACTTCAATAATGGATAATAAGGTCTCAACGTTTTAAAGTAAGTTTACAAAAATTATCTGTATACAAAAACACTGGCTCTACATGAAACAAGGGCTTCACTTAATATCTTTTCATTTAAAAAAGTTTCCTAAAATTGACAAGGCTCAACTTTTTGTCTTGCTACTACTGCTCTCTTGCCTGATTCATGATGTCAGATTTCCTTGAAATTTGAATGCAGGTCTGCAGAACAGTGTGTGTGTGTGTGTGTGTGTGTGTGTGTGTGTGCTGAAATCTGAGTGCAGGTCTGCAGAACAGGGTGTGTGTGTGTGTGTNCTCTCTTGCCTGATTCATGATGTCAGATTTCCTTGAAATTTGAATGCAGGTCTGCAGAACAGTGTGTGTGTGTGTGTGTGTGTGTGTGTGTGTGTGCTGAAATCTGAGTGCAGGTCTGCAGAACAGGGTGTGTGTGTGTGTGTGTGTGCGCGTGTGTGTTGAAATCTGAGTGCAGGTCTGCAGAACAGGGTGTGTGTGTGTGTGTGTGTGTGTGTGTTGAAATCTGAGTGCAGGTCTGTAGTACAGGGTGTGTGTGTGTGTGTGTTCTCAGCTCTGGGAAAGATTCCAGAAACTAGAAACAGCCATCACCAAAGTGAGGAACCCAGCGTTTCAGGATAATAGCTCAAAACCCACCTACATGAGGAGAAATTAAAGCAAACACCGCTTGGGAGACCTCAGGAAATCCTAATGGTCTTGGCATTCTGCTGGGCATCTGAAGGCCAGAGCTGTGCGCTCCCCTCAGGCAAGGGGCTTTAGAATAAGCAGCTTCTGAGGATCTGGCTCAACTCGGTGGCCCGAGCACCTATCAAGGAAACATTCACACCAGGTGACCTCTTGACACTTTATTGAGATGGTTCACAGGGCCAGTGGGCACTGGGGTTCAGACAAACCAGCCAATACAGATGGACCTGGAGCCATGCACCCTGGTGACACCTCCCAAGACCCCCACAATTCCTGTGCAAAGCTATCCATGTCCCCACAGCCCGTATCCTGGGGTGACCAGTTATCCCCAGGGGTGACCACCTCGTCCAGACCACCAAGCAGGCCACAGCTGGTGGAGGAGGCCTTCCCAAGCGCTTCTCCAAACCCCATGCACCCCCGTGAAGTAAGGGGAAAACTCAGAAAACGAATCCACAACAATAAAAGAAAAGAAGAAAACCACATCTGCTCTGCACACAGATTTCACTTCCCCACGGCCGGGATGGCAGGACCGGAGCGCTCACAGACGCCTTTGACAGCTGGGGGCTCGGGGCATCACCTCCCCCACGTCCATGGGAAAATAGTCCTCCGTTCTGTACAACGCGGGCAGCTTGAACGTCGGGGCCACCGGTGCCCACCGCTTCTGGAAGGACAGAAAACCAGGTGCCCGGTCAGTCACGTGAAGCCACTTGTTCTGAGAGCCAAGAACTCCAGTCGCAGTTCACCCCGCAGGGGGGTGGTCCAGGCGAGCAGAGTCCATGATTCTTCACCAAGAATCATGGTGAAGAATGCAGAGCAATGTCACACTGCCTGTGACAGCCAAAGCCAGCCCGTCTGACACCTGATGGGGACCGGCAGGGCTGGTCCGTGTGCGCAGAGCTCTGCAGTGTTTGAGAGCACAGGCGGAACAAGGCTCTGGGAGGATGGCTGAGAACGCAGCTGCACCTCGGGCCACCGAGTGCCAAGAAGGGGCACTTAGACCCGCAGCAGCGCAGTCTAGACCGCGCCACAGGCCGCCGCTGGGGGAATCTGGGGTCGACGATGGCTCTGTGAGCGCCTGTCTGTGCTCCTGAAGACCGGGCTATATGCATGTGTTCCTTTTTTTTTTTTAATTGAACCATTTTAAGAAGGGTTTACTTATGTCTCGTGTGGGTTTTTGTAGCAGGGAGATTAAGGAGGGGAGATTTTCCATCAACCAATGGTCTCCAAGCTCTCCTAACCCTACAGGTTACATAGGCATTTCTGGGTCAAACCGGTTTCACAGAGGACCGCCCCAAATAGTGCTTCTCAAACGTGGCTGCACAGGGGGCCTCCTGCGAGAGTAATGGATGCTTATGCCCAGGCCCCGCCCCCGTAGCCTGCGGTCATCGGTCTGGGGTGCGGTCTGTGCACCTGAGTATTTCAAAGCTCTCAGGTGATTCTCAGAGCCGGGGCTGATCCCGTGACCTGCTCGGAGGAGGGAAGGTCTGCAAGGCTCCCAGGTGGACCCGGCAGGCAGATACGGGCAGTAATGTGGGGGTCCAGGGGGCGGAGGGAGGAAGTTCTGCATGTCTCCACCTGGGGTCCCTCTGACCACCTTCTGGTCCTCTCACCCCCACCCGCAGCTCCCTCTGCTGCGTGATCTACAGGCCACCTCCGCACCCTTAGGCCCTAACCCCGCCCCTGGGCCCCAGCTCCGCCCCTAGGTCCTAACTCCGCCCCGGGGCCCCAGGTCCGCCCCTAGGCCCTAACCCCGCCCCGGGGCCCCAGGTCCTTCCCTAGGCCCTAGCTCCGCCCCTGGGCCCCAGCTCTGCCCCTAGGTCCTAGCTCCGCCCCCGGGGTCCCATCTCTGCCCCAGCCTTCAGCGGCCACCACAGGTACCAGCACGTGGTGTGGGGCTCCGGCCCACGGTTAATAACAGCTCCCCCAAAGGTCAGACCCCCATGAGCCCCACGCTGCCCTGCGTGTGCCCTCACCTGCCCCATGCTTGTCCCCGCAGCAACACCAGGACCGCCCTCCCCACTGTGGCGGGGGGCGGGGGAGACAAAGCCCAGGAAGGTGACTTACCCCGCCACAACTCTGAGCACCTGTCCCCTTAACTCCTACCTTACACGTGCTCGCACCCGGCCAGGGGCACCACTGTGAAGAGGACGCAGCCCCAGTCATCAGGGGCTCCCTGCTTATCCGCAGACAAGGGAGCCACTGGGAACACACCCCCAACCTGTGACGGGGAATACGGGACGTGGCACCGGGGCCCTCGGAGCCCAGGAGGGGCCCAGCTCCTGCAGGGGTCAGAGGTTCCCAGGAGCTGAGGACCTAGGAGGGGCTGTGTGGGGGGTCGGCGGGAAGGGTGGTGGCCAGGCTGCAGACACCCCGTGACCATGCAGACAATGCTGGGGGGTGTGCTGGGCAACGGGCACCAAGGGGGTCCGTCTGGAGTCGGGCCAGGTCAGCGTGTGGACAGGAAGTTGTAAACCAGGACCAGACGACATGGGCCCTTGGAGGTCGTACTAAGAACTTTATCCTAAGAGATGGGNTGTGTGTAATGAGATGTGTTTTAGGAAGAGCAGAGACCAGACTGGAGGGGAAAGAGGGGACCAGAGCAGAAGCTGTTGCAGGCAGGCATCCCTTCAAGGTGAGAGTGGCTGGATTTGGGGTGAGAGAGCACAGACTCTAATGTCTGAGCCCTGAACTCCCCACTCCCCAGAGCCTGTCTCTGCTGCAGAAAGAAACCACCAAAGAATACCTTATCTACCTCATTTCAGATAAGGTAGAATGCACCCGGGGTCCAGGGACTGCATACCTCCCTGAGTCACCACCACCCACATCTGGAAAGCTGGGACAAGCAAGCAAGTCACCTTGGCCAAGGGTCTGCCTCATAAAAGGGAACATTTAACCAGTGGACACCGGGTCAGCTGCTCTGGGATCAGCCTGCTTGGCAGGGGTGGAGGTGGGGGGGGTGGGTACTTGGGACACACTCACCCCCTTCTCCCAGCATCTTCCTAGGCTGTCCCCCACCCCTGCGAGTGGACTGGAGTCCTCCCATAGCACCACGACCAAAACACAGCTGGGAAAGGAGCCCCAAGATCGTCTCACAGCCTGAAGGATGCCGTCCGTGGATAAGCCATCGTTTTAGATTATCCTCACCCTCTTTCTCCTGAGATCTGACTGCTGTAGTATCTAGAAAATGCAACAGGCAAGTAATAACAGTTCAAAGACCAGCTCCCTTGTCCTGACAGATGGCCTGGGGGTTAAAGTGTACCTTCCTCTCCTGATCTCGGGACACAGCCAAAGGGGCCAGGCCAGAGCTGGTGTCCCTGTCCTGAGGATGCTGGGCCTCTTGACCCACTGTTCTGTTTGTATTTTTAAGAATATTTATTTATTTATTGTGTGTATCTGGCTGCACTGGGTCTTAGTTGCCGCATGCGAGATCTTCAGTTGTAGCCTCTGAACTCTTAATTGTGGCACGTGGGATCTAGTTCCCTGACCAGGGATCGAACCCCAGCCCCCTTGCACTGGGAGCTTGGAGTCTTAGGCACTGGACCACCAGGGAAGTCCTTCCGTATTCTTTCTGAAATGGTTCTCCCAATGGGGATGGGGCTTCTGCCTCCTCTTTCAAGGAGACAGGCTCCAGGAAAAAGGAGAAAATTCATATAACGATGAAGGAACCAAGAAGGAGTCCTGAGACTCTCCGAGCAACTTTAGATATAATCTTATCTTTAGTGCCAGCAAGGTCTAGTGCAAAAAGCGGTGGCACTTTTGCTGGTGATGAGGCGGAACCGTCCCTCCTGCGTTCAGACTCAAGGGGGAGGGGAACACCTGGAGAGGTGAGCCTTCTGCCAGCGCCGTGGATTATTAGAGAGTGGCCACGTGTGTGCTCGCAAGAGGAAGCCCCTCACCCGGACCCCACAGGGACTCATGAGGATGAGACATCCCAGACGAACTTGCTCCCCTTTTCTGTGGGGGCCCCCAGCCTGGGAGATGGTGAGAGACACCCTGGAGGCCGGTTCGCCCCTCCACCCTGGCCCTGGGCCCAGCCCCTAATAACTTCTTGGGACACATGGGAAATTTGTGGGAAAGTGACTCAAAGCTCACCGGAGCTCTGGGCCTGCAGTCAGCCTGGGGGGGGGGTGCCCTGAGCTGAGCTGGGGGCTCCGAACATGGCCGCTTCAGCCCTCCATGCTGCTCTTGGAGAGCGGGTGGGCATGGGATGCTAGCTCAGCCTGTTCAGCCTCCACGTCCTGCGCAGGTATCAGTACCTTGATGGTCTTGAGGGGTCCCTGGTGTCAGCTCCCCATCCCCGCTGCCCTCCCCACCCCCTAACACCAGCTGAAGGAGGGGTGAGAGGAGGCTTGACCCACCCGGGCTGTGACTGGTCCAGGGGTGAGCAGGTGACCCAGGCTCATCCAGTTGAGAAACAGGCTTGGGGCTCTGGCTATTGGGGGAGGCATGCTTTCTGCTCCCATCGGCCCTTCGCAGGTTTGTGCGAGGACGGGCCACGAGCCTGGGGGTCATTTCTGCCACCATGCTAGGGGGCCTGCCCAAGAAAGACACCAACACAGGGGAGCAGAGCTGGGAGGGGAAGCAACATAGAATCCTGACAGGATCCTTGGAGCACCTGAACCGCATTTTGCCCAAGGTTAGTGTTAACTAGTCAGTGTTGGGCTCTCCTGGTGGCCCAGACAGTGAAGAATCCACCTGTAATGCAGGAGACCGGGGTTCAATCCCTGGGTCGGGAAGATCCCCTGGAGAAGGAAATGGCCACGCACTCCAGTGTTCTTGCCTGGAGAATCCCATGCACAGAGGAGCCTGGCAGTCTACAGTCCATGGGGTCGCCAAGAACCAGACACAACTGAGCGACCGACACACACTTAGTGTTACCTTGGGACTTTTTCTGTTCATGAGACCACAGGATTCTCTTCTTTTCTTAAGCCAGGGTGACCTGAGCAGTTGTCACTTGCAACCAAGCATCCTGTCTAAAGCAAATAATAAATTCACAGGAGTGTGGGCAAACGCCTGGAAACCAGAGGCGAAAGTGGCAGGTGCAGAAGCTACAGGCAGCCAGGCACCCCAGACGCCGTCAGGCTGAGCAGGACCACACCCTGGAGGCCAGGACCCAATCCCGGGCCCCCCCCCCCTCAGGATGCCAAGGAAACCCAGCCCTCTCACGCCCATGCTTTCTTGGATTCTCAGGACAGACCTGCAACAGGAGGGGCGGTCCCCAACTCAGAGGTCACATGAGCCACGGAGCTGGGGTCCACTCAGGCCTCTCCGGCTCCAGGTCACCCCTGCCCCTTCCCCACAAGGCTCCAGCCTCAAACCCAAATCCTGGAGAATCTCGGAGGGGACTTCTGAGAGCATCCCGGCCCATCCCTGGCCTGCAGCTGATACTAAGATGCTTCCCCAGGAGCGGCCAGGTTCGCAAGGAGGACTGTTCACCTCCCTGAGGCTTCGTCCCCCTCCCCCCAGCCTGCGGGCGGGAAGGTTCCACAAGGGGGGAACCGGATGGGAGGAAACCTGAAACCACAGGTCCAGGGCCCTGCCACCCTCCCCCCGGCCCCCTCCCCCCGCCACCAGCCCGCGCCCCCAGCTGGAGGAGGGCCTCTGGAGCTGGGGCACCAGGCCTGGCAGGCCCTCCCGGGTCTGCCCAGCCTCCCACGTCTT